AATGAACTTATTGCAGATATGATGAAAATGGCAAAGATGAATATGTTAAAAAAAGGATTAGTGTAAACCGTGTAGCATGAATATCTATGCAAATATGCAAGAAAACTAAAGTAGTGCACAACTACATATATCTCAAGGTTTTTACATGGGATTTTTAATGTAGATTTATGCTCAATATAGGAGCATGCACATCAAAATAGTGGACTATAACATGCAAACAATAAAATAATCAGCAAAGTTGGCCTCATGTTTATTATCTTGAGATAAAAAACTGAGAAATAATTCAAATAAGTCAATGCCCAAACTGCCTGTTGTTAACAGATAAAGAATATTCTCATAAGATTCTCCATTTGACTGCATCCAAAACATACACCAATCCTGCCTTCGAGAGTTTAGCTGCTAGATTACTGGGAGGAGGCCTTTTGTGGTGGTGGTGGTAGTGCTGACTGTAAAAAGAGCACAAGGCTTGCTGGTGGCTAATAAGAGTAATTAGGAATCAAGGATCCAACGTGCATAGAGCCAAGGATCAGTTTGCTTTCGAACATCAAATATGGAGAATTTCTGAGAAGATTCTCTATCTGTTAACTGCGGCTAAGAGCATAGCAGAAGACTTAATTTGCATATTATTTTACAATACTGACAATTCCTACATGTGCCCAGGAGGAAAAATAAGAGTGTCCAGAAACCCAAAAGACTAACCATAATAAGGAAATAAACATGTAGATGTAGGTAATTATATACATATATACCTTTGGGTATTCCCAGGACCATCATTCGGTGCCCCAAATCTAGAATCAGGCCAATCTGGATATCACAATTGAGTTGTCATCAGATTTTCCACTGAATGAATAAGGAGTCTTTTCTAAAGGTAAAAAGAAACGATGAATCATGATAACAAAGTGGTAGATAAATATATGATCAGGTGGTCAAATTTCGAACTGCAACTAAGAGCATCCTAGGATGAAAGCTAATGGTGCAGCCGAGCACTCATAAACTTTTCCCACGATGGTTTGATGTTGCGTATACTTACTTTTGGAGACTAATTGATAGGATGGAATTCTCAATGAAGGGCAAATCCTCACCTGAAGCACGATGCCTGCCATGGTACCGGTCATCGTCGTACCCACCTCTGCCTCCGCCACGGTCGTACCTGCAGAAGCAACACCATGAAACCTTACGACCCATCTCGGGAGCTAATCAGGCATCCAGTACGAAAAGCTCGATCAGCGACCGAGCTGAGGACGACGCCCAGAGTCCCACAGCCCCTGGGTGCGTTATCCGTACCGTGGTGGGGGGCTGCCGCGACCTCCTCGGCGGTCGTACCCGTCGTCCCGCCTGGACCGCTTGAAGGGCGGCGACGGGGACCTCCTGGACGGCGGCGAGTGGCGGCGGCGCGGCGGGGGGCTGCGCGAGCCGCGGCGGTCGCGGTCGCGGATGCGCTCGGGGCGCGAGGAGCCGATGGGCGGCGGCGGCGGCAGGGAGGGCCGCGGGGGCGAGCGGCTCCGCTTGCGGGTGGGCGGGGGCAGCGGCACGGGGCGGTCCTCGGGGCTGGGGCTGTCGGGCGGCGGAGGCAGCGGGCGGGGCGGCCCGGAGCTGGGGTCTACGACGTCCGCCATGGGAGGGGCGCTTGGCGGCGGGGCAGCTAGGGTTTGCAAAGCCGAGGAGGAGTGGAGCGGCTGGCGATGGAGCCGAGGGAGGGGGAGGCCGAAATAGGTACTAGGCCGCGGCGCACGAGATAACTAACGGGCAGGGTCGGGTCGGGCTGCAATCGCGAACGGGTTTTACAGTACTCGGGCTCGGATCTTATTTTCTTTTGGTATTGTTATTATTATCCAACGAACGTTCAATTGACAAGGGGTGGCAAGCGAACGTTTTTTTTTCTTGACAAGTTTATATGATGAGACATACTGCCTCTGTATTAATGTCAGAAAATGTCTTATGTTATATTTTGACATAGAGGGAAGAGCGGGCTTTTTTCTTTCTGGGTGTGCTACGTGTCCGCCTGCTGATCTTTTTAAAAGATCGGTCGGCTCGTGAGCTGTCAGATCTGACGCTCCACCATTGCAATACAGTTCTTGCAGGTTTGTTTTTGCAATAGATGCCTTGTTGCAAAAAAAAATCTGTCTTCACCTTTTTACAACATAACTGATGTTACGAGAATAACTTTCCAAACATTGGTGATGTTGCACAAAATTTTGAGTGGAATCATGAGGAGTGGAGGACACATGTCCGAGACGCGGACGAAAGCCAAGAAATTAATCAGTCGATTGAGGAGAATCGTTTCCTCTTTTGCAGCAATTTTTTGTCTTCTTTTCTATAAATTGCTATGTGTTTCTGAAGAATATGCCATTATTCTCTCACAACGTAAATTGTCAGGAAAAACGTTTGCAATTGCCACCCTTTTCCAACTGACGTTCCTCATATAAGAGGGGCCTTTCTTTTCATGCTCTTGTGGATGCCCACTAGCGGTAGCCTTGTGCCAGTCAATGGCGAAGCAATGGAATATTCCGGACGTCCGGCGTCTAGTGCACATTGGGCCGGAGTGGCTCCTTCATGTGCTCGCTGACTTGTCCGAAGAGGAACTGATGTATACGCTCATGATGATGCTGGCACGTCGGGAATGAGATTGTCCACGACAAACCACCACCTCTTGTGGAAGCCTCAACTAGGTTCCTAACTAGCTACATCAACTTTCTTCTGGCCATTGAGGTGAATCCCCAAGGTGATCATGTCAAAGGGAAGATGGTGGTTGTGCCCCATCAACTTTCTCTTCTTCCCGTGAGCTACGGCTTTGTGCATCCCCGCTAGAGTCAGAGCTAGCTGCTTGTTTGGAGGGCATCTCCTTTGCTTCCCAGTGACGTGTTGCCAATTGTGATTCAAATGGATTGCCTCGACGTGGTAAAGCTGAAGGAGTAGATGACCAGTTGAAGCATATGATGACGGTTCGAGAGATTGTTGCTCTTCTTTAGGATCGTGGTGAATTCTTAGTCAAGCATGTTAGGAAAGAACAAAACGTTGTTAGTCACTTTTTAGCAAACTTTGATCAAATTAAGAGGCGCACTGCAGTGTGGCTTCTATCAGGTCCGAACAAGGTCCCAACACTACGTAATGCAGACTTGTCTGTTTCTTGATGAACGAATTCACCTTTTCCTCGCCAAAAATAAAAATAAAAAAATAGGGTCCTTTCTTTTTGGATATGGACAGTGGAGATGGTGATCTTTTTTTATTATTATTTCCTGCCGACTCGGCTGTATGTCCAGCACCAGGGGAGATATGTCGTTCTGTATTTATTATTACTAGCAAAAGAGCCCGTGCGTTGTAACGGGAGAGAAAACATAACACACACTTTTAACTCAACAACATCACTCGAGACCACAATAAGTCCATCTCCTTTATTTTTGCGAGGCATCATATTTGTGTTGCCGCTTATCCTCCTTCTCACCCTCGCCGACGATGACCTCGGTGTTCACACAAAACAACAAAAAATGTGTGTTGAATATAGTTAATCCTAAGGCGTCTCTCTCTCCCTCTCTCCTCCCTCTCCCTCTCTCTCTCCCTCCCTCTCTCTCTCTCTCTCTCTCTCTCGCTTTCTCTCACTCTCGCGATGAGAAATCTGTTGTTTTCCTTGCGACATTTTTCAGAGGTATGCGCATGTAGTTATCGATGTTTTCTTTTCCGTATATGGTTATAGTGGGGTGTTTATTTGCAATCAGGATCGCCACCGGTATGAAAAAAAACGGATCTTGTGCTATAAATTATATGTTTGCTTCCATAAAAATATTTTAAAAATATTTAACAGGTAAAATTAACATCATATTTAGATTCCACACATTTTTCTAATAAAATTTCATATATAATATGTTAAAATCGAAGTTACGGTTTAAAAGATACAGATAATTTAGGAAATCATTTGGTTTGACTCAAATATATTCCAAAATAATATTTAAAATACTTAACAGGTAAAAATAATCTCATATTCATATTCTACATATTTTTCTAATCAAATTTCATATATAACATGTTCAAATCGAAGTTACGGTCTAAAATATATGGATGATTTTATAAAGCATTTGTTTGACTTAAATATGATCCGCGGATGAATTACCTAAAACATCTGGGGGGTTTGAAAAATATAAAATAACGGTTCGGGTGTGACTTAAATCCGGACGATGGGTTGGTTTTAAGAAAAGACAAAGGCTTTTGTGTAAAATATGAAAATAACAATTTGTTTTAACTTAAACAAGACTGCGGGTTGAATTCTCTGAAATAGAGGGACTTCTCTAAAAAATGCCATGACAGATGAAAGAAACATGTTTAAATCGGAGTTACGGTCTAAAATATATGGATGATTTTATAAAGCATTTGTTTGACTTAAATATGATCCGCGGATGAATTACCTAAAACATCTGAGGGGTTTAAAAAATGTAAAATAACGGTTCGGGTGTGACTTAAATCCGGACGGCGGGTTGGTTTCAAGAAAAGACAAGGGCTTTTGTGTAAAATATGAAAATAACGATTCGTCTTAACTTAAAACAAGACTGCGGGTTGAATTCTCTGAAATAGAGGGACTTCTCTAAAAAATGCCATGACGTACGAAAGAAACCCAATTTGCTTTATTATTAGGTAAAGATAAAGATTATTTTTACATAAATTCTGCACTCAGCACACATCACAGAACTCAGTAACAGACACTAGGTTGCTTCAGCATGGGTTAAAACGACTACTTTGATATCATCTGTAAATAACAACAGGCCACAGGGCATTCACACTGGACTCAAACAAGAAGAAACAGAATTGTCATATAGCCACAACAACAGCGGTAAGCACGATTCCATCAGATAAAAACAGCAGCTCTATAAACCCTAGACGACACTAATACCGACAGCCTAACTCAGGTTATAATACAAGCACTTTTCGCCTACACAGGAAGTTCACTCTCAAAGAGGAGGATGACGCTCCTTCATCCATCCACCGTTAAAAACATGCAGCAATCCTGCTCATCATGTCGAAGACCCATGGCCATGACCGTTGGCGTCGCTCGCTGGTGCTGGGTTTTGTTGCTCGGCAAAGGGCACTATGGCAGCATTTCCATTCTGCTGAGAGAGGGTGCTTCCATTCTGCTGAGAGAGGGTGTTTCCATTCTGTTGATAGTGTGAATTCAAGCGTCAACCACCAGCTCATTCATAATATCAAAATCGTTGTAAGGATTAGGTGTAGGTTGGAAAACGGATTCCCAAGTCGTAACAGGATGGTGGAGATACTTCTAGATCCTCTATACTCGCTGCTTGAAAAGTTGAAATGGGAGTATCTAACATTTCTATGGCATCGGAAGAAGAAAATGGCATGTCACCTTATGTGCTTAGGACTCTTGGTGCAAATATATGCGAACAAAATCAGACATTTTGTCGGTGTTAACCAAACCAATGTTCAATAAACAATGGATTCCATAAAAACAAGGCACCCATTCATGTCACCAAAATTTTCAAATGGGCAAACTTTCTTGAGTCAATGATGTATTGAAAGAGATCAAGATTAGTTAAGATTATAACATAAACTGATGATCCTCTTTTTTATATTCCAATTTCAGGACACGGGAATCATAATTTGTTTTATGTCCTTTTATGTGCGTACTTGTTAATTCCTAATTTAAATGACTGAAAATACATTAACCAATTTTTACTCGGTATTTTCCGAAGTTTCAGCCATTGCTTAGTATTGGGACCATTGTTAAGATGGACATCATGCAAAATACAATCCTTTCTCAGATAATTCTGTAAGATATGGACCCAGCTCATTTTTCAAGAAAGAACAAATAATCGCTTCAGCTTATAGGGAAAGTTTAGCATACTCAGTATTTTCAGAAGCAACTAATAATAGATAAGAGACTTACACTATCATTTGGACCTGTTGACACCATTTGAAGAGATGGAGGAGTAGACTTTGATAGGTCCCGCAACATGCCCTGTAGAAAATAAACATGGAAGGTTAGCAAGTCGTCTGGCATAGTGGCATCAACTTAATAATTAATCAACTTCACATAAAGAGGAGAACTGGGCTACAGCCCAGTGCTGGGTGTGAAGTTCTGTCACCCCACCCTCCAAGGTTCGATTCCTGTGATGTGAATTACTTTCTCTGAGTATTTTACGGGGTGGAAAAGCTTGCATCGCGTTGTCTTCTTCAAACAAAACCATGAGACTCCTTCCCAAGGGTCTCTTTTACAATTCACAAAGGGATTATACACACAAAAAAACTACATGTACATAAAATTTTCATTTACAAGGTAAGGTGCTTGAATCCAATAATACATGAAAGAGAAACTAAGTGATGCAGAATTTAGACATCCCCAACCTTCTGTGTAACAGATCATTTATGGACCGCCGATATTTTTTCAAATAAAAATAATGATTAACCCATAAAGCATTATTGACAGGTTAATTTGCTTCAAGTTGTATAAAGTGCTGAAAAAAAATACTCTTTAACTCCACTACGAAATACTCCCTCCGTCCGGAAATACTTGTCGGACAAATGAATGAAAATGGATGTATGTAAAACTAAATTGCGTCTAGATACATCCGTTCCTCTGACAGGTATTTTGGGACGGAGGGAGTACACTCAAATGGTAACACCTGTTATTTGTCGAGCATTTTTCCACAGCAGAGATTAAATACAACCAAACATGCACACCATCCAGGATGCATCTACATTCATTACAATCATCTAGATTTTTTGTTCTAGTAGAATTTAATCTAAACTAATGTTAGAACTGTTCGTTTTTACAGAAAACAAGGAACAAACTAGATACTAACCGTTCTAGTGCCCTGAACTTCACCAATATGACATACAGCAAACAGAAAAGGACACAGTGTTTTACGGCCAATAGAACGATTGTGTAGATACATAAATAGATCAAGATAAGCACTGGTTACTTAAAGTATAGAGTTCTAATAAACTTTAGAAACTAGAGAATACCCTGCGCGTTGCTGCGGGAATTGATTGCAATATATTTCAGTGAGCATTTTGTCTGAAGCTTCCATCGTTCAATTAGTAATATATGAACTAAAGCTAAAAATAAATATTATATACTGTATTTGGTTATTGCGTAGTCTGAAAATATTTTGAATATAAGTGGCATAACGTAAAGGAAAGCTTTTTTACATGCATGTTGAGTGGACCTTTGATGAGGTGGCATGTGTGATGAGGTGGAAGGTGTGCATGAGATCAACTAATAATGGAAAACTTTTTCTCATGCATGAAGTGGTGGGCATTTGATGAGGTGGCATGTGTGCATGTCAAGATATAGAGATAGTGGGGATGAACTATTTAGGTATATAGGATAAGTTAACCAAGTAGTAAAATAACCTAAGTACTCCCTCCGTCCGGAAATACTTGTCGTCAAAATGAATAAAAGGGGACGTATCTAGATGTATTTTAGTTCTAGATACATCCCTTTTTGTCCATTTTGATGACAAGTATTTTCGGACGGAGGGAGTATTAATTAATTGATGGTAAAATGAGTTGTTTCAACACAAAGGACCCAACAACAACAAAGCCTTTAGTCCCAAACAAGTTGGGGTAGGCTAGAGCTGAAAGCTGAAACCCATAAGATCTCGCAACCAACTCATGGTTCTGGCACATGGATAGCAAGCTTCAATGCACCCCTGTCCATGGCAAGTTCTTCGGTGATACTCCAGTCCTTCAGATCTCTCTTTACGAACTCCTCCCATGTCAGGTTCGGTCTACCCCGACCTCTCCTGACATTATCAGCACGCTTTAGCCGTCCGCTATGCACTGGAGCTTCTGGAGGCCTGCGCTGAATACGCCCAAACCATCTCAGACGATGTTGGACAAGATTCTCTTCAAGTGGTGCTACCTCAACTCTATCTCGTATATCATCATTCCGGACCCGACTGTTGATAATTCCATTATACAGCATGATCTAAAAGTTATTCCGTCTATTCAACAATATATTTCCCGCATGGATACCTACTTTGATAGAATCTTTCTAGTGAGAAAAGAATAGTACGATTACGTAAACTAATACTCCAATTTGTGTCCCTAGGTATCTGTGCAAACAGATATTGTGAGATGGAGGTAGTACACTATATGCTTCTATCCTCAATTAAATTGATATGCAACAGCACTAGCAAGTATTTACAAGTACCTTATTTGCCCACATGAGGCCGCAAGCATTGCATAATGTTCTTGGCCCTTCAGGTCCACGACGCATCATAGGTGTATTATGTGCATTAGTACCACAGTGATGGCATCTGAAAGAATTTGAAAGAAGTCAGCCATCGGTAAAATTCACAAATAAAATCCCATGTGTTTACGAAATCAAAAGGTAAGATCTAACAGATACCCCATATGGAAAGAAGCATCTGTCCATGTATGCGAGGTGTCAGATAATACCTTCAGTCCATGTCAAACTTGCTTGCACAACTAACAAAGTAAGCAAATCTGAATATCCCAGGGAAGATGAGCTAGGCAAAGAAAAGGTACTGGTATATACTATTATGTGTACCAGTCAGCTCTATGAATTATGTACCATAAATTGTGTTTCTTTGTGGCACCTACAGTGACATACTAGAGCATTTAATTTCAAAAACAGCAATTATCGCACAGAAGGCATCTTTCAAAGCATCTAGAAATATTGCTGGATAACTCAAATAGACAAATACATTCCACTGACTCAGCAAAATACATTTCATCAACTTACGCAGCAGCAGACGGAGGTCGACCTTCCACTGATCCCCAATTTGGGGAGCCATCTGCAGTTGCCAGTTCAGATGTTCCGTCATCAGGTTTTGGTTTTGAAGATGTAAATTGGCCTCTATTACGCTGCATCCTATAAATACATGGAAAATATGGAAATGCATCAATAGTGTCTGTGCATAATCAGTGCAGAAGTAACCTAGACAACAAGCAAAATATAATCTTATCTAAATCAAAGAATGTTAGTATCAGAATATTAGGTAGTTTTTTTTCAGAAGTATCATATCATAGAATCACGATACTTTTTATAAAACTACAATTTGGTATATATAATAAATAAAATGCTCATCTAACACAAATTATAGGAAAATACTGTAGTATATGCTAGAATTGCATTGTACTAATACCATGCACGAGATAAATCCCAAACTGATGAAGTACAAATTTCTAACCCGACCAACACAACACAACAAAATTGTTTTAATAGATGCAGCGTCTATGTTTTTTTACTGAATGCAGCGTTCGCATTAATTTCACTACAAATTCATTTCTGGAAAATCATTTACTCTCCTCATTCAAGAGATGGAGAACATGGCGCCTAATGAATGCAGCCCAACTAAAAAAGCGCTGATAGGTGTACGATTAAGCGTGCTAGGCGCTAGGCGACAGCAGAACTCCTAGCCTTAAGCATGCCTACGCGTGCACTTAGGCGATATAGACTCTATGCAGAGGCAAAATTAGGAATGTAAACCTGACTCTTTTTTGGATCTTGCGCGCATGAATGTACCTAAGTGGGCTTCTACTAAGAAGCTGAAGCCCAAGGCCTTCACAGGGTTTGTGAGGTGACTATGCAGGAACAATAGACGAGAGGTCTAGTGCCCACCTCAACTAGAACTAGACGTGCTTATAATGTTTTATGTGGCCTTGCTTAACCCACCATTGCAAAGCATGGACAGACCTTGCGGTTTTGTTCCCATAGATAGTGGTACCACAAATAGTTCATGTGCACCAATCCTAGCGATTCTACCTTTGGGAATGTAGTGTAACAATGATACGGTGGAACTGCGATACAGCGATACATGATAGTGATACACTACAAATCATTTAGCTCTGGTAAGAATGTAGAATCACAAGATAGTATGATACTATGATCTACGCCGTGAACCTGAAACCATATAAATCAAGAAGTGCCACACTAGTATTACAACTGACAAGAATCATGGCGTACCAATGATATTTGACACGGTACAAACTAACAAGGCGAATGGAACAACTAGAGGCAATTAATTAATCTGCATACTGAACAGAGTTTGTCAATAAAAATGCAGTGGATGAGCATATGTTCCGAAGAAAACAACAGCAAAATAATACTCCCTCCGTTCCAAAATAGATGACTCAACTTTGTACTAACTTACTACAAAATTGAGTCATCTATTTTGGAACGGAGGGAGTATGTGTAAGGGAAGGACAGACCCAGTGCATAGAAGCTCCCACACAAGGTGGGGTCTGGGGAGGGATTATAGGAACCTAGTCTTAACCCTGCAAAGTGCAATGCAGAGAGGCTGGTTCGAACCCAGGACCTCTTGGCACAAGTGGGGAGGACTTCACCACTGCGCCAGGCCTGCCCTCTAGGGAGTATGTGTAAGGGATGTAACATATTTAAATGTATGCCATTAATAACCTTTCAAGACATAATGTGACTGCAATTTCCCAGACAACATTTCAGACATAAAGATTGGAATTCCCAGGCAACGATTATACCAACCTTAGAGCAACTTCCTTGCGAACTGTATACCGGATCTTCTTATCAAAGTTTCGCTCTTTCCGCTTCTCCCTAAACCTCATCAATGATGCCACCCGGTGTGGAAAATTCAACCTCTGAAGCATAGTAAATTCAACCTCTGACGCATGTGAATCATCCAGCATATAAAATATTAACTGTCATCACTTGTCTCAACCTTACTGTATGGAGTTGATGATGCTCCGGCACCTATGCCTGGGTTCAGTTCCCTTCCCCCTAGCAGCAAAAGCACAGCTTGCACCTGCGACAGCAATCAAAGACTAGTGAATTTACGAAAGAGGCAGGGGAGACAAAATTACACTACTACTACTAGCAAACGGCAAGAGACGGACCTTATCAGGGGAAACAGAGTCGAACACGTAGACCTCGCCCTGAAATGAAAGGGTGAGCTGGTTACCCGTGGCGGGCGGCACAATCGCAGAGACCATCGCCCCGTGCGGGTCCAACGGTGCGCAGGCCGCAGCTGCAGCAGCCGCCTGTGCCGCGGCCTCGGCGTCCATCGGGACGGACTCCCCGTTGCCGCCGTGCTGCCCATGCTCATGCTGCCCATCCCCCTCGCCCTCGTCGTCGTCCTCCTCCATCTCCTCCTCTTCCTCCTCTTCCTCCTCCTCCTCTTCCTCCTCCATCTCCTGCTCCTGCTCCTGCGCGTGCTCGTACGCGTTCATCGCCTCCGCCTCGGCCGCGACGGCCGCTATGGACGCGTTCAAGGCCTCCGCCTCGGCAGCCACGGCCGCGAGGTGGTCAATCACGGCGTCCGCTGCTGCGGGCGCAGCGGCGGGCGCGGGCGGGTCCTCCGCCGGCTGCCGGGGGCGCTCGGGGCCCCGGCGCGGCTGGTATGGCTTGCCGTCGTGCTGTGCCATGGCGAGGGACCGGATCGGACCGGATCGGACGACGGGGATGGGTGTGGGGAGGAGGGTGTGGTAACCCTAGGATCGCGATCCGATTTTGGTTTGGAGGGTGGAAATGGACACGGGCTGAGAGGTGCAGGGAGCGCGAGCGGTTTTCGGGCGGATCTCAGCCGTCCCGTCTCTCACAAGGTCGAGTCCCATTCCAGGGTCAGGATATCTTCCCATTTTTCGAACATCCTCTCTTTTTCAAATCAAACTTCTCTATCTTTCTTTTTGCGGGGAAACTTCTCTATCTTTACTCATACGTACTTAGCATACATAATCATCTGTAAAACGCACCTCATAAAATATACACGGATCAGTATACAACTTTTTTTTTTCGGGAAATCTTCCGATCTATTCATCTTCAATCATGGCAGTACAACGAATATCAAAAATAATAAAAATTACATCTAGATTCGTAGACCACCTAGCGACGACTACAAGCACTGAAGCGAGCCGAAGGCGCGCCGCCGTCATCGCCCCTCCATCGTCAGAGTCGGGCACAACTTGTTGTAGTAGACAGTAGGAAGTCGTCGTGCTAAGGCCTTATAGGACCAGCGCACCAGAACAGCAATCGCCGCAGATGAAGAATAACATAGATCAGAAGGATCCAATCCGAAGACACACGAACGTAGACGAATAGCAACGAGATCCGAGCAAATCCACCGAAGATATATCCGCCGGAGACACACCTCCACACGCCCACCAACGATGCTAGACGCACCACTGAAACGGGGGCTAGGCGGGGAGACCTTTATTTCATCTTCAGAAAGCCGCCGCCGTTTCGTCTTCCTGAGCAGAACACAAACCCTAACAAAATTGAAAGAAACGACTAAAAACGAAGCCCTCCCGCCGACCCTTGGCAGGATCCACCGTGCCTCCATGGCCCTAGGGCCACCGGAGACGGGGCCGATCTGCGTCGGAGCCGGCGAGAGGCAGAAACCCTAGCTGCTTTTTTTAGGAGGAAGAGGAGGATCAGTATACAACTACATGATTAGGTCCACTAAATTCAATCTAGCATCTAACATTAATCTAATCCGTTCTCTCATAAACACTTAGTAATTTAGATTGACTGGTCGTAATCCCTGCGTCCCAAATCCCTACAATTACGCAAGGCACAAAAAAAGAATTTATCGCAATTGGACCCCCTCAATTTTTGTGTTGTCTTGCTCGTGCTCGCTCAAAACAGCTTCCCCGCGACCCACGACGCCTGCCCCTACCCGTCGGACGCTCCCGCCCGCTTGACTAGAGACATGCATCACCTACCATTTTCTCGCATTCATGTGCTCCATGCTAAAAAAAGGTTTGCTGATGAAAAAGGTGTGATTTTTCTTCATCCAAAATTACATCCCAAGTTTGCATTTCATGTCTGTAGTAAAAAAATGCATGGTGATATATTCATGTCTTAGAGGCGTTATGGCGGTTTAGCCATCCATCAAGGGAGGAACATGCCTATTTAGGAGAGACTAGTGTGTTAGAAAGTTTTCACATTAATATTTCATTCGAGTCGACTTTGACAATTCGACTAGAATCTACGACGGCACTGCACCTATCAATCGTTAAACTAACTTTGAAGTTTTTATTGACCAAGCGGGACATGATACACCTAGCTACAGAGGTTTAATCCTTCGATGCAACCGATAACAAGTACTCCGTACTACTTTTGATCCAAAATAAGGGTCACAGTTTTGAATTAACCATAGTTCAAAACTGTGACGCTTATTTTGAATCGGAGGTAGTGAGATTTATGGATATCAGTATGAGTATTCCGAATATGGATGGATGATTGATTAACTTGAGGTTTCGACGAGTGGTTCGCCTATGGCCGTTGGATATATCCGTTACATGAAGTTGCAATAGTGACTAAACAAATCTCAGGGTTTGGACAATGCCATAATGGTGGTATTTATGGAGGGTATGGAGCTCGGTTGCTTCCTCTGAATTAGGAAGATGCCCCCCCCAAGTGCAATGGTTGGCAGCTAGCAGCAGTTTTCCTCAAGCGGATGACCTTAAGGTTTATCAGACCAGTGGGAGTTGTAGACCAACCAATTATCAGTACATACACACATAGATACAAAACTTCCTTTGTCCCCAACGAAACTAGTGAGATTGTTAGTCTCATTAGCTTTCTAGTTACAAGGATTAAATGCATGGGTGTATGGAATATTGATTGCAATAAGAAAATAAAACAAGGAATTGTAAAGAGAGTGTTGATCGAGGTTGTAAGAAATAGGAAGAATAATGGGCCGGTATCCATAGCTTCACTAATGGTTTTCTCCAAATGATAGCATGGTGTGTAATAGCAGTTGTGTATCCATTAAATTGCAGTTTTTATACCGATGCATGCAGGAAGGTCCTATCCGGGTAGTTCAGGTTGCTAGTTTGAACGAGGTTCACTCGACAGCTCAGAACAAAGAACTCGCACGCCACCCACATAACCCTGTGGCTCAATGAAGAACTATCTTTTTAAGAGTTCCACCCCATGACGCTGACCGGATCCATTCCGAGAAGCACACATCATACGCCAGCCTAGGCGCAGAACTTGGGCACCAGAAACAATAGGTTGGCCACCTAAAGGCTTTCGAGGTGAAAGTAAAGAACAAAATCAGGTAACTCTTGCCTTTCCCATCCTGGAACAACTATACTATCTTGGCATTTTTCAACTTAATCAAAAAGGGGTGTTCCCGGGTGTCGGTGTGAAAACCGAGTCCCGAGCTGTTAGATCGGATCGATGGGTAACAAGAGAGAACACACAAAGTTTACCCAGGTTCAGGCCCTCTCTAAGGAGGTAAAACCCTGCATCCTGCTCTTGCTTATATTATGGATGTATCAAGGTACAGAGTTGATCTACCTCGAGATTGTGAGTTGTGGTTTAAACCCTAGGGTATGATGAATGTATGAATGGGTGTATGGATGTATGCATGTCTCTACGCACTAAACCCTCCGGCTTATGTAATGTACCGTAGGTCTAGGATAATAAGAGTCCTAGTCGAATACTTCAGCGAAGAGGAGTCCTTGTCTTGATCACCAAGTCTTGTGGAATCTTCCTCGTATATGTCATGGGCTGCCCGAAGTGGCCCAATAGTGAACCGCCATGGGGGTCCTCGGCCCGATCCACCTAGTCGGGAGACGACGTGGTGAGTACCCCCTAGTCCAAGATATCGTTAGCAGCCCCATGAACTGGTCTTCAAGTTGAGGACTAATAACCCACAAGTATAGAGGATTGCAACAGTTTTCGAGGGTAGAGTATTCAACCCAAATTTATTGATACGACACAAGGGAAGCCAAAGAATATTCTCAAGTATTAGCAGCTGAGTTGTCAATTCAACCACACTGAAAGACTTAATATCTGCAGCAAAGTATTTAGTAGCAAAGTAGTATGGAAGTAACGATAAAAGTGGCAAAAGTAACAGTAGCAGTTTTGTAGCAATCGTAACAGTGGCAGCGGAAAAGTAACTTAGCAAAGATCAATATGAAACGAGCTCGTAGGCAATGGATCAATGATGGATAATTATGTCGGATGGCATTCATCATGCAACAGTTATAACATAGGGTGACACAGAACTAGCTCCAATTCATCAATAAAATGTAGGCATGTATACCGAATATAGTCATACGTGCTTATGGAAAAGAACTTGCATGACATATTTTGTCTTACCCTCCCGTGGCAGCGGTGTCCTAATGGAAACTAAGGGATATTAAGGCCTCCTTTTAATAGAGTACCAGACCAAAGCATTAGCACTTAGTGAATGCATGAACTCCTCAAACTACGGTCATCACCGGGAAGTGTCCCGACTATTGTCACTCCGGGGTTGCCGGATCATAACACGTAAAAGGTGACTATAACTTGCAAGATAGGATCAAGAATACAAATATATTCATGAAAACATAAAGGGTTCAGATCTGAATTCATGGCACTCGGGCCCTAGTGACAAGAATTAAGCATGGCAAAGTCATAGCAACATCAATCTTAGAACATAATTGATACTAGGGATCAAACCCTAACAAAACTAACTCGATTACATGGTAAATCTCATCCAACCCATCACCGTCCAGCAAGCCTACGATGGGATTACTCACGCACGACAGTGAGCATCATGGAACTGGTGATGGAGGATGGTTGACGATGATGATGGCGACGGATTCCCCTCTCCAGAGCCCCGAATGGACTCCAGATCTGCCCTCCCGAGGAAGAATAGGGCTTGTCGGCGGCTCCGTATCGTAAAACATGATGAATCCTTCTCTCTGATTTTTTCTCCCCGAACGTGAATATATGAAGTTGGAGTTGAGGTCGTTGGAGGTCCAGGGGGCCATAAGACAGGGGGCGCACCCTCCGTCCTTGTGTCCAGGGTGTGGTCCCCCTTTAGTTGATTCTTTCGCCAATATTTTTTATTTATTCCAAAAATTATCTTCGTGAAGTTTCAGGTCTGAAAGTGCGTTATATCGACTAGAGGGGGGTGAATAGGTGATTTTTACAAATCCGTCACTGAGGAATTTCTAGGTGAAGAAATTCCTAAGTAACGACACACTAGCAGCGGAATAAGTACTCAGGCATAAGCATAACAGAGCAGTAGCATAGTCATCATGATGAAATGAAAACAAGCACATAGTACAGAAAGCGTGAAAACGGGATAAGCAGGCTGAAGACTATGTGACTGAAGAAATTGGATTGAGGAAATATAGAAATTCTCCAGTCAAAGTCTTCAAACAGTAATGATCAGGATCGTCAACACATGAATGAGGAAACGAACAGGTTGAGGAAATAGAACCAGTTGGCTTGGTGAAGACAATGATTTGGTAGACCAGTTCCAACTGATGTGACAGTTGTACGTCTGGTTGGAGTGGCTAAGTATTTAAACTCGAGGACACACAGTCCCGGACACATAGTCCTCACCGTATTCTCCTTGAGCTAAAGTCACATAGACCTCGCCCAACACTAGTGGTAAGTCTTCACAGGTGACTTCCAAACC